AAAAGCTGAGTCTAGGTCTAATCGATTCAACCTTTATAGTGCCCATTTCACATCTCTACCATTTATGAACTGAATTATAAGCTTTTTTATTTATGAAAGAATTTAACTGAAATATGATACATCGGCATAAAAGCAAATCTAACACCGGGTTCAAAATTTGATTTTGCGCATGCTATAGCCATACCCAGGAGCTCATTTGCTATATTTGTTTACACATTCATTAATATTTTATGTTTCAGTAGTAGAACACCGAAAAATGTATAATTTATTAAAGACTCTCGAGATCGTTTATAATTTTGTATTGCTGTTTGTCTGCCCGTCTGTCTGAATGTCTGTCCGTGTGCACGATAACTCTGTTTAGAAACGTCCGGTCGCTTTGAAAATTGGTACACATATTCTTAAGCATATAAGGTCGCTATTGTTTTTCAGCTACGTAGACTATCGGGCCAACAAGTTAGATCTTGAGGATCGTTCGGTAGGTATTCATTTGTATCGGATTTTTTTTCTAACAGTGGTAATGGCCAGTGCCGAGTAGGCGGTGGCGAGATGGGCGCCCGCCGAGGGCGCAGCTACCGGGGAGACGCAATAATTGGCCATGAACAAATTTCTTTTTACATTAGTGTATTAGGAAAAAAATTCAGGTTATTTAAACAAATGTTATTCCAGATTGTTAATACTGTACGTACTGTGACTGTGAATAGCTGGGTCGTTACAAAGTGATATTACCTTCATCTCTGTCCTTCCCCCCTTTTGCCTCCTTATGGTAATGTAATATATACAGTGCGTCCAATATAAGAAGGAAAAGCAAGCAAGTAAAATGATATTTTAAAAATTTGTAAATTCCGATCAGTTCCGAAAAAAAACCAAATTAATCATATTCGGTTTTATTTTTTGCCGGCCCTGTTTGAAAAGATATCAAAAAACAAATAACACTTCCTCATAGGAACTTTTTAAGCTGTACAATTGGCGTCTTTGAGAAACCATCAACAACGATGTATGGCACAATAAGATTCTTTATCACCTATATCATTTAAAGGAACCATCAATGAATTATTTTGATCTTTTGTCAACGCCTACTATAGTAAAATGTTAAAAATTATTTATTATTTAGCTCAGAAAAATGGCCTGTTACTAAATTTTTAACATTTTTGGTTTAGTAGGCGTTGACAAAATGTCAAAATAATTTGTTCTTCTAAATGACATATTGTACCATACATAATTGTATTCGTAATAAAAAATGCTACTCAATACATTAATGTACTTTTTTCCGGTCCATATAAAAATATGAAGTTGTTGATTGTTTCTCAAAGACGAAACGTCGCAGCGAAAATGGTGAGCTTAAAAAGTTACTTTCGGTTTTTTTAAATATCTTCGGAACTGATCGGAATTTCCGCATTTTTATAACATCGTTTTATTAAGCCCTAAAATGCGCAACTCTTTCTAATTTAAACAACTGTGTACTTCTTATGGTTTCCGATGTGTCCATGATGTTCATTCTTATCTTGGACACACTGTATTTTGTAATCTGTTCTCCATGTTTTAAAGAAGCGAAATTCTCGGATCAAAAGCTTCAAACCTTGAACTTAAGAAAATTTTCGGAAAAGGACCTCCTGGTCCTTGCGTTTTTGTTGAAGGGTATTTAATACCCCTCGCGCATGTGTGTGTGTGGGGGGGGGGGGGGGCCGCAAAACTTGAAAGTGGCCGCCAAGAAGCGCGGTCCATAATCTAAGTTACGGCCCTTGGTCCCGGAAGTCCTGCTATAAACCCTTAATTCTTCCGTAACGGTCTACTCTACGCGGTAGGGTATAAAACATCTCGTTCGATTGTGTGGAATTTTTGCACTAAGGAGATTATAGCAACTTTCTGAAACCGGAAACCAAGAAGTTTTTATCCTTTCTCCAGGAATTACAGTTAGGTACTACCATTTAAATTACGGATATTGTAATTCGCATATCTCGGCTCATTCTTTCCTATGCGTTAACAGACTTTTGCTCTAACCCGCTAATTAAGTGGTTTTAAAAGGACTGTTTAGAAATCGACCACCAAAGGCCAGATATAAAGACGACCTGGAATCCATCCCCCGTGCTGAACTACATCGAGAAGTTTACGAATCCGCAGAACTTAAAAACCCTTTCTCAGAAGTAAGTTAGGGTAGGCTCGGGTAACTCCGTGATAAATTTTGTTTTGTTTATAATTTGACTTGGTCTTTTAAAGGTAAAATTAAACTAAACGTTTATTTCACACAAAACAATATTCGCGTACATATACAACTGACAAAAAAAGCATATAATTCTCATTATCCATTATTAACAATAAAAATGCTTGTTAATAATTACTATTGGTAATTCCGTGATATATCAGGTTACTCCGTGATACAGTGTTGGTAACTCCGTGATATCACTTTTAAGCTTCTTTACGTAATAGGGAAGCTAATCAGAGGCACTTCCTGCTGCACATGCATCACACATAAAAGCAACTGATTCCTCTACGTATTGGCACTGACAGTGGTACCATATTAAACAAAAGGTACACTCAATCCACTGGGCACCATTTCTTTTTGAAACGTCTCTTCGTTCAATTTTTTCTTTTTCTTGTTTTTAGGCTTTGACATCTGAACAAAACAAAAAATAACTAAGTTCAAAAAAATCATTAAAAGCAGTGGGGCCTTAAAGTTCCCCCCCCCCCGAGAACTCGGGCCCCTTAATACGGCCCTACATCTAACATCTGCATTGAATAACACATGGTCACTTGAAACATGCAAAATTACGATAATTACTAAGCATATTTGCTACATACAATGATGCTGTTAAAAAAATTAGGAATCAAAAACGTAAGAAAATCAAACCGCTTCATAAGCTCGTATCAAAAAGTGCCTTTCGATAATGAAAGTTTTGAGGTTATATCTTGATAGCCGGCTATCTAAGCTGTAACACTGCCAATTTACAACTTCCTATAATAAGTACTTTCTTAGTTATAAATTTAATAACATACCTCGGTTACGCAGCCCTCAAAAATCAAGGAAAAATGCACTTAACTAAACTAAATTTCACATAAAAGTGGTCTCCAGCGCTCGAAACAGACGTATAATATAACAAAAGAATCGTCGTTTGTTGGACTACATTTCATGCTAATAGGCAACCCACTATACTCTATCGGTAACTCCGTGGAAGCATAAATACAAACTATCACGGAGTTACTCGTATCACGGACTAACCCGAGTTTACCCTACTTTGTTAGCCCTGACTAAAGGGGAAATACAAACATTGTCTTTAATTTGGACTAGTACACTTAAGGAGTACATCACCAGAACCCATGGTTTATACAGAAGATCGGATAGCGATTTTCTATTCCTGTCGCTTAAGAAACCACATTCTATACCGTGACCAAAGATACCCTAAGCAGATGGTTAAAACAGATGCTTGAGGATAGTGGAGTGGACATAAATATATACAAATCACATTCCACGAGACACGCCTCAACGTCGGACGTCCGACGCGCAGGGATCTCACCAGATTTAATATATAAAACAGTTGGATGGTCTCAGAAATCAACTTTTGCGCGGTTTTACAACCGTCCGCTAAATTCGGATTATTTGAAAAAACAATGTTAGACCTAAGTCATACTTAATTTTACTGACCTAAGTAGGTATGTCAGTTAGTTAACTCTTACGTATACCTATTGAAATTTAGAGCATATTAAATATCTTCGGACTAAACCCGAACTATAATTAATCGATCAAACGAACTCACTTTAAGTGATGTTCGATCGTAATTATACGAGGATCCAGTCCGAAGATATCACTCCCACCCACCCTACCCCAGGGTGCGATAGTTGCGAGAAAGGTACTTTCAACTTAATGAAAAGAGGGTACGTTGTCGGATAGAGGCGATCGGGAAGGGAGAGGTTTTCATCTTTAAACTTGGTGCGCGGCGAGTATCCAGGGGCGTACTACATAGTAAAATTACATGATATCTTCGGACTGGACCCTCGTATAATTACAATCGAACTTCACTTAAGGTAAATTCCCTTGATCGATTAATTTTTACGCGAAACTTTCCATATTGATTACGACCACATATTAACCTGGACTAGTGACTGGTGATGGCTACCCCGCTGGTATCCTAGATCAGTTTTTTTAGCGCATTTTTGCAAATTTATTTGTAAAAAGCTCCGAGCGTGTTATACTAAACTCGAAAACTTTCATTTTCGCGAATAAAAGCTCGAACCATAAGTGCCCAAAAACAAATAGGTACTACACAAATAATTTCCAAATCTGTAAATCTAATCTTACAACACGCAATTTCTCTACAATCAAATAAACAAAATAAACAAGGCAGTTATTTAAATAATATTAACAACTACTTATTTTGATACAAAACAATATCGACATCGAAATCAAATGATCGGCATTGCGTTCCATTCCAACCCATAACCGCACATATAATGTTAACAGAAAAATTGAACTTAGACATACAGGATGACCCATCATTACTGTAGGTGTCGAAGCCAAATAGAACATCCGCCTGGCGTTGTTTACCTATACAACAATATTTTAATGTGGTGACATGGGATTTGAGGTGCATCCGTAAGTACAACATTGATCAAATATTCATCTATATCATGATATAATTCGTTTGGGGTGTGACCTATTTGGCCCTCGACTAAGGGTAAAAGGTTAAACATACACTTTTTTGTACCTACTCCGTGGACTAAGTCAATGTTTTTTGTCTTCAATTTAAGAGAGAGGGACGAGGGACGAAAAGTAACACACTGAAATGTCAAACACCATCTACTTCTGTTTAAAAAGTATCGCAGTTCACCGTATATTAAACATTATGAAACTTTATTAAGGTAAATAAAACTGTAGGGAGTTTTCGGTAGGCAAACGGGTAGCTGCAGTCGCTACTCCAAGATTCTAAATAAAATTATAAATGCACAAATTTAATTTATTTTCACAATAATAATATAATATAATAAAATATCATCAAAATTATGTTGGTAACTCTGGATGGGTTTTATTGTGTTCTGTGGCACTATGGTATCGCCTCTTGAACTGTAGGATGTCAGGTACTTCAAGATGGCATCGATCGAGCAACGGATTGACGGGAGCTGCGATATAATATTTCAGCTGGCAGCTGCAATTTTAACGGTTAATATGGTTTGCCAGGAAACGCTGAGTTTTGCTTTTCTATGTATGAAACAACCACTTCCGGTACACAGTCCGTCAGTGTGGTATGATGTTTTTCAGAATCTGATTGGTACACTGGATGTAATGGTTTTGGAAGCACTGGTACTACTTGTGGCTGTTGAACTTGCAAAAGTAAAAAGTTATTGGTGTTTTTGTTTTACTTTTGCATCTGATGGTTTTGTTTTCAGGTTGTGAACAGATCTGAAAGTCAGCATCTCAGGTCAACAAGTGACAGGAAGAAGTGTGCATGGTATTTGTCATCTGGCCCTGAGTGACTATTTATCAGCTTTATTTGGTTTTGTTAGTACCTGAGTTTAATTGAGCTAGCTGGACAGGTGTTTATGTGGGTGGTTTAGTGACCATTTGCCATTTTACATAGCGATGACATAAAATAGATCCCATTCACACATCTCTTACATGATTTCTATTTATATGTTTTACTAGGAATTCGAACCGAACTAAATCTAAATCATCGTGGCCAAGTTCATAAAAAGACAAAATCTATCTAATACAAACGGCTTCATTTGGCCCAGAGACTTATATCTTTAGGAACTTTTCAGAAAAAATGCATATGGTTCTTTGTTAATAGTGTACAGGTGTTTTTCGATGTGTTCTAAATCGTATACGAGTATTAATGTAATGTTTTATATAACGACACTTTTAGAACGATTATGTTTAAAACACGGCTTTAGCGAGTGTTTATAACGAGTGTCTAGAGAGTTTTATAAAAAACGCGTTATAAATACATAGGTACCTACTATACTTTTTCTAACGAGAATCTGTTGCCGCTTGCGTTATTTCAGAAGGAGCCAGCAATAACATTTTTTCTCTAACATTTATCATCTCTGTCCATTTTTTGAAACAGGAATTCGCCTTGCGATGAATGTCAAAATGACAAAACCGTCAAAACTACCAACTTGATTTAGTCAACAAAATTCAAGTGATGTTTTAGAAAGTGAATTTAAGTTTTATGCTTGTGGAGGAGTAAATATTTTAAGGATTGTCCATGTAAAAGTTTGTGATATAAAATATGCATAAGTGTTGCAGATCGCGTTCCAAAGAATAAAATATAACAACGGAACATTGTGCGTAAATTTCAGTTTTCGGGCATTAAAAAGCTTTTTAACATAAAAACAACCACGGCAATAACGGACTATTAATTAGAAAAACCAAAATTACAGATGATGTCCCATAGTAAAAATATACGTCGTGATATAATGACCTGTATAATTTAAAAAATAAATTTTGATAGGTAAGCATGTAAGCCGTCGTGGAATTTTTTGACGAGAAAGGGAATTTCATAAAAGTTTCGCGAATGGTGTCGTATTTCCAAAGTGCAACACCCTGAATTGGCGTGTCGCTTTTTAATCGAAATTAGTTATTTGGGCGGTAAAGTACCTACCGTAATGCAACCGGATTTACTAGCTCTGCACGAGCGGATATCTCCCTTTCTCAGGACCAGTGGGCTAATGGGTAAATCCCATTGAATAAAAACCACAATTCAATGGTAATACTTAAGAACAACTCTAATTCGATTTACATTATATTACTCGATATACCTAACACTACAATATAATATACAAATGAGGACACCCTGAACCCTACAAAAAACGGACAATAACGGCAGTAGAAAAAACAATCTACAGACGCGAAGTTACTAATCGAGTCACTTAGTCAGAGAAGGTGGTGCGCACGAACCCGTTCACAAATCTGTCGTAGGATTTCTAGGCCTACCTCTTTGATGGTGATGAAGATGATAATCTCGTGCCTGACGCTTGCGCCTCGGTGGTAACACTTCCCTCGAACAAACTGCGGTTTCCAGGATGCCACTATCGCAAGATTCCGATATTGGCGCGCACACTAAGCACTTTGATGTGTGATCTTACGGAACGTCGCGAATCTCAAACCCGCACTTGTACGCTAATGACCGCCGTACTTATCCGCGATCTCGGACGTGCGTTGCCCAAGACGGCTATTGGCGAACTCTCCAAGTTTTCTCCTTGTACACAAAAGGAAAAAGGGTGTTACTGCATCTTGGATCTTGCCGCCACACATGGTATCACCGTTGACCGTAATAATTCACATTGGCCCGGAAACCCAATCGGTTGCACATGTGGCAGAAAGTCCATGGGCCCTTTCATGCGGAGGCGTATTATCTTACAAAGCAGGGTGTCCACAAGTTCAACCTAACTATTTTACTTACACTTAACTTAAAAAATACTATACATATACAACTCGCCACACGGGTCCTAATAGTAACCGGTGCGTTACAAAAGTTAACGTACCTACAACTTTGTAATTAAATTTAGTTCAAATTCCAATAGAGGGTTGATTAAAATCTATTTTAGGAGTGCGTTATCGATAAACTTGTTTAATTCCACCAATTAAGATGAATCGGTTCTCGAAGGTAAAGTGGAAAGCACAGTACGCTGAATGGCCGAGCGCGTATATTATGACACCAAGCTGTAGAGTTGATAGCTTTTCCTTTTCAAAGACCAGGAGCACCGAAAGAAGAAGGGCAGTATCCGTATTATTATTCCTTCCAAGTTTGATTAAGTTTTAAACATATTTAATATTCGCTTTTTAAATTTGTGAGAGTCGATGAAACTTATTGAGATACCTAGACCAAAGATCGATTATAACCCAAATAAATCTATATTCCGTATTTGCAAGTATATTATGCGTATTTTATCTATTGCTCGTAACGGATGTATGCATGAGAAATAGGAAGTAAAAATAAACAACATATACCTATAGTATAGTGATTTAAGGAATGGAAACGGAAACATCTTCGACACGAGTGCGGAAGGATGACTTTTATTAATCACCAGATTATATTTCCATTTTCGTTTCTTATTTTCTTTTTATTGTTTCTATTTTTACCAGCAAGAGATTATTACTACGTGACAGCTCGTTAACGTAATAAACCGTACGCATCCATGTGAATAATGATGACGGATTTCCATTGTAATCCAGTATTCGCCTCCCCCGGTTCTCCTGATAGATCTAGAGAGTACTTCATATTTGCAAAACATAGAATCGCATGCATTTCGATATCGAAAGTTTGAAGTGTTTATAAGAACACTTATGATCGAAACAATTCTCCAAACGGACATTTCGTCGGACGACCAATTGACCATAAAGAAAAGAATCCTATATTTCTGAGACTGGTCGTATATAATCTCTTCAGTAAGTCTATTAAAAACACCCGCCAACTTTTTAAGACTTTTGGAAGTACACTTTATTTCTGAGACAATAAATCGAAATTCGATTTATTCTTGATCACAGAAACCTCAGCTACCCTTTTTAGACATATACAATATGTTTATCTTTGCTTTTCAATTAGGTACCCGTGCATCGTCCGGTCCCGTGGAGCACGGATAATCGGGGTTTTACTTTATTGCACAGTTTTTCTACATTGTAAAAACCTATTATATTTAGTTCACTGATTCTTGATCAGTAATCCGAAATAGTTATTTGTTTCATAAATACAAAGGGGGCTGTCACTTGCCAACACATGTAGAAATGTGATGCACATGCGGAGAACACAATCCATAACTCTGCAGACGAGAAATTTTAAAACGGAACTTACTTAAAATACATGTCTCCTAGTTTCCAATGGTAAGTGAAAACCAGGATAGAAACGAGTATTCGCCGCGAAGATAGTTCGCCTGCAAGTTGCGATAAGAGCGATGGAGCGATATCATTGAAATTGAATTCCAATTAGGCCTATGTGTTAATTCAATTATCGTATATTGAAGTTTGAACGCGCTTAATTGGGTAAGCATAATTAACGACTGACGTTTTAATGACTTGCAGAAGTGCAACCATCAGACGGCGTTCAAATCAGTCTAGAAAGAAGCGCGCTTAAAAAACTTGAAGTCTGTTATCGATCCCATATTTTTCCAATATCGGCGATAATTAAAACTGAATTACTTTGGATCGCTTTCGTATTGAATACAGCCAAGAGCACTTCCTGGATTTCTTTATAAGGTAGGTAGGTAAACGGTTGATTTTGTGAGGATCTTTTGCATGTTCGCAGTCTACGTTTTGTAAGTACCGAAATTTTGAGCGTTATCGTAACTTTATTTTTTCGTAACGTATCTTGCTCTTTTTGCTTTTGCACTGTCGCCGATGACGATTTGTAAGCACAGTACTTTTGATACTGTCCGAAGATTTATTTTGTACCCGTACCGTATTTAATTGATTTTAATAATTTGGCCTTTTTCGCGTTGGTTTAGCCGTTTAGCATTAATAAGCACCGTATTAATAGTTTTTTTCTCCGCACCGTAGTTTCGCCGTACCGATAAATTAAAAAGGGTAAACTAGCCTAGCTTTAATTAGAGGGGGGGTTATTGGTCCACTTTCCCCCGTGTGATTTCCTATAGATACCGCTGGGTTTGGTTGTTTATGTCGTGTGTTTTGCTTACCTTTCAGATTCTTAGCAGCGTAACCGACAGCCGTCATTTGTCTGAGCCCTACTGACCTCTGGAAATAACATCGTCTCCATGTGGGTGCCATGGGACTTCCGATACCGTGTTTTCCTAAACCGACCTCACCAAGAGCAGGGTTTTTTCCTTCTGGTGGCGCCTGAGCAACGGAAACATCCCCGCGGTCACCGCTTCCGATAACTAATTGTTGGTTTTTAAATTATTGGTGTTAAGTATATTTAATTTATTTATGAGTAATTACTTTTTATTTGGAGTAAACTTATTTCTACTTTATTTCCAAAGCGTAACTACTTTTTGTACGTTGGTATGGTGGTACCGATTACTCCCGAAATCGTTCATTATGTACCTAAAAAATCAGGTGGTTGGAGAAAATGATATTTTATCTTTACATGTAAAATTCTTCAGTACGTGTTGATGAAAACAACACACATAAATTATATTGGGATAGGACACTACTCACAGACAAAACTATCCACAATAATAGACCAGACATTAC